ATATATGTATATATATATGGGTACATATGAATTGGTCATGTGCATGCGAAATACAAATTTTGAAATGAGTGAACGCAAAAAAAACAATTGTAATAATAAACTGTGGAAAGACCGGAAGAAAGTTTGAGAAATCAACGACAACGGAAACGATGCGAATGGAAACATTCAGCGGCGAATTATCGGCGCCACACGAGCATCATCACCATTTTCGATGCGAGCGGTAATTTTAAATGAAACAATAAAAACTATAGCAAATGTGAAGGGAACGGAAGACGAATGGATGGGAAGAAGAAGAAGAGAATTATGATAATGATGATGATGATGGGGACAGAGAAAAAAATGGACAGATGGGGAAAAAACGGAAAGAAATCTGCTTAAGGCAAAACTGAAAATTTCGACAACAAACGCGATGATCATTTATCACCGCATTTTGCGACAAATATAACGATTTGAGGAGGATCGTCGATGGCGATGAGGATTTTTTGCTGATGATCTGATCGATTTGAAAACGGTCTCATCAACGATTGCGATCAACCGTCATGGCTATAATTTGAGGACGGGTGGGCAATGAGAATAATGATGCTAGAAAAGAGCACCGGTGTTGTTTCTGGGAACGGAAATACACTGAGACACGTACGCTGATTTATACAAACGAGTGATGATTTTTAGAATGAAATTAATTATTCAATCAGACCAGATGGCTTGCATGTCTTTTTTTGATCGTACTTCACAACGACATTATTGAGCATACTCTAGATGAACACGTGTGAATTTCAATGAATATTCATCAAGGAAGTCGATTCAGACAATTTCCCACAATGGTGATTAGCATTTTCTGTATTAGAAAACAGTCAGTCGAATCAATTAAATAGCTCTGAGTTTAGAATACGGAGAGAGCAACATTCTACTTGATCAGTGTGCAATTGCTGAGTGAAATCAGAAACTGAAGTAGCGAATGAAGAAAACGATAAGGTCACGAACATCTGCCTACAATATTTCAACAGCATCTTCGTCTTCGTGCGTTTCGCATTCAACTTTGACCAACTGCTGTGAAAAGCTGGACAATAGACAGATAGATATATAAATAAGTGTGTATAGATTGAAAGAAATGACAATTTCAAAAATCGTCATCTCCTTCCAATTCAGCGAGTAATTTTCTTCCTTTTGTTTTGCTTCAGCAAAATGATCGTCTCTAGAGCAAGCAGGCAAGCAAGCAGAGACATCTTAATGAAATTATGCCGAGCCTGGAGTGATAAATGAGCTTGAAAAATGATAAATGTTCAATAACTAGGTGTGAAATGACAACCGGACGCTGCTGCGCGTTTATCAGAGATTCATTAAGGAAGTTAATGAAGTTTTGTGTGTTGCTGCAAAGAAATCACACTATCTGAACGAAAGAAGAACGTAAATCATTTGTTTAATTCATTTTGTCGATCAATCATTCCATTTCATTGTGTATCGTATTTTCTTGGTGTATTAATAGATTGGTATATGCATCACAGCTCTCGACTTCCGTCGTTGTTGTTGACGAAATTATGATAACGAACACCTTGGAAGGTAAAGAAGAAAGACGAAAATATTGCTTGATTCGACTCTGCAACACTCGACAATATTATGCAGACGTCAACCTAACAGACCAATGATTACATTTTAAGATCATCATAATGAACTGCTCTACAGTATGTATAAGTACAACAACAGCAAATAAAGGCAGCACTACAAAACAATTGCTGCATATTAGTGGTTTTTGTGTGTGCAGTACATCAAAATGATGTTTTTCAGATGAAGAAGCTGCAGCTTCTCAAAGCAGCCAATTTTCAGCTACGCAAATCGCCGTATGTTCTCAGCTTTGCTGATGTTGGTTATCGGAGCTGAGAATTTTATTACTAATAAATTCGTTTTTACTGGCATTTAACGAAACAAGAAACTCATAAGAAAGGATACAATAACATGAGGTCGACGAGCGAAATCTGAACTTCTACAGAGGATAACAATTCACGAATGATCACTTTACTTACCGCACTTCGTCATTTGCTTATTTACAAATCCAATTATTCGATTCATGAATGCAAAGATACGTTCATATTTCCTGAGAACACTTATGCTTTTCACAACAGGGCAGTCGCAGTACGTAATACGTCTCTGATCAAAATATTTTCCTTGTGTTAACTAAACCAATGACGAGACTTTTCCCTGTTGCGCATTCATTCATTCTCTTAATAATCAAACCAGTAGCTCCCATCACCTTAATTAAATGGATATATATATATATATATATATATATATGATTGATTTTGGCGTCTGAATGGCGCTGAATTTTTGACGTCCGATCGTCTCTATGGTTCACTGTTGGCGGAAGGCATCATCGCTCCATGATGGAATACGAACCAACCAACGATCTGCCATCATTATAATCACTTGTTATCAGTTTATTCACTTGTGAACCACTGCTGCCTGCATCTACCCGCCCATCAAAACAATACACAATTTACTGTTTCGATGATCGTTTTATTATGCTCTTCTTGAACGATTCATTAATTTAACCGCAGCAAAAACTTTCCGAATCACAAAAAAATATGCGGAACATTTATATCACTTGTTTATTACGCATCTTTTTTATTCATCTTTTCATCTTAAAAATTGATGGACACAGAATGGGCGGAATAGAACCATCAACATCACATTCACTTAAGTCGTTTTTTGAACGAATTTCAGCTCGTAAGATTGGTCAGTCGTCACGACGGTGCGCAAATTGCTTATCAACCTCACACTCAGATTCATTTCTCATTAAATTTCAATCGCCCTTACCCGTAAGCGTATCTCATTTTCGGAAAATTACCCTACTATTATCTTATTGAGTGCTGAAAAATGTATACATATATTCAGATGTAGAAAAAAGTTTCACTCTGGGATGTTGAACATGTAAGTTATGCATCTTACTTCTATTCCCAACGAGACCCGTCCACCCTAATTGCTTCAACTTTTCATCGTCATCACCTAGTTGTAGAGCAATGGAATTTCCTGATTCTTTTACTGAACAAAAGTCGATAGCGCCTAACTGTAAATTCATCAGCTTTAAGTATTTGTATCAGCTTCAACCACACAACTGTAAGTGTTGTATGGATTGTTTTTTTCCGTTCCAATCATCTAGCTTTTTCAATCACTGAAGCAACTGACAACGCCATAATCAGTCTCATCACTTGAATTTATTTTCTTCGATGCAACATAATAAACCTTCATTATTTATTGATGTTTAACTGATGAATGCCACAAAAAATGGATGTACTTTATTGTTTATTTTAAGGAACAGCGAAAACGTCAAATTAAATCGTTCACTCATCATCATTACTTGCATTCATATGGCAATTACACAAATGGCTTAAAGTTTTAGAAACAAACTACAAAATAGTCCCGTCATACTTTCTCTCAATGCAAATATCAGCAGTTTTTTTTCGGAACTTTTTCAAATCGTTTCAATATGATCCTCTTTTTTCCCACTTGCCAATAATAGCTTTCAGGTACTGTTTTAGAACGCTCTATGACATTGACGTTGTTCTCACTGATTCTCGATCTTATTTTTATTAGATGATACTGTATCATTAAAGCCTATTGATCGAGAAACTGACTTGTGCTAAACGTTAATGGTAAACCTATGTCTTTAATCAGTTTCGATTGGATATATTTGGCAGACATTCAACGAGGTTGTCAACAAAGATAGAGCGAAACAGTATTATTATCGGTGAACGAGTCAAGAGGTGATAATGTGCAGTGTTATTGTTATCAGTGAACCATCAGTATTACTAGTATTATCGGTGAACCACATCGGTGTTCAAAAATGATATTTGTCGATTTCAATTTGCTGACTTCTTTTGTCGACTTGCAATAAGACAAAAATTTCTGGGTGAGATTTTCGAATCGAATATCGGTATACAACATGCCGAGCAGCCGGCTTCGAGTAGAAACAAATAGCGATCAATTAATACAAATGATTCTAATGGCATTTGCATCAACGTTTGAAGCAACTGAAACAACAGAGCAATTTAGTTTATACTTCATTTCAGCTGAAAAAAATTGGTCCAATATATCAACAGAAGCAAATGTTGCAGTTATGAAAGTTTTGTGCAGTATAAAATCCACTCAAACAAATTACGTATAACAATCAATGACGAACTTACCGTGAACGGTTCTACTGTGTTGAATACGGACTCGTATTTCGAATGAGCATTTTTGTAGTTGGTGATTAGTTGTACGCGTTCCTCTCCATCAACGCCTAATCGTTCAGCGATTACCATGCCAACATCCTCTAGCTTCCCAAATGAGCGATTTACTCGACGCGAATGGTGTTCAGTGCTTTTTTCACGCATTCCTTACATTTACAATTATATTGAAGTACACTTCGATAAAGACAATACCAAAACTCTGCATTTCAACTGCTGCTGCCTCAACAAATTTTGGAACAACACCCATGATAAACGATATCTCTTCAAAAAATAATAAAGACCCATATACCTCTCTTTTCATAAACGCATTCAAGTAAGGATCGTCGTATAAATGAAAGCGAATGTGCCTCTCGTTTCTCATTACTTGATGGCCACCTGAGCGCAGTTGGTATGATATAGATTAGTAAATCAATAAATATTGAAATGAATTTGATGGAAACTCAAATAAACTTTCCTTCCCAGAGAAAAAGATAAAAACGATATTATCATGACAGCAACAACAACAACAATAACCTCGACAACTGCTCTTGACAAGCAAGCCTTAGCGCACTTCTTTCAAGCACCCAGTCTGCTGAACATAACGAACGAATTCGATCACTTAGTGCCCAATCGATCACTGGTTTTTCTTAAGCAATTTTTGCCCTCAATGATAAGCCATCATCATATTATTTTTTGTATCAAAACAAATCGACATTCATTTCGATTGATTTTTTTTCAATGATAATTTTTCAGCTGTTTCGCAAATTGTTAAAGGTACATATGAACATGTGAACAAATCTTTGATTCATTGGGCAAAATTCATGGAACACGATTTAAACAAAAAAGAAACCAATCGTAGTCATTTTATGATAACAACATCCGACGGTGAACAACAGTGGGCATCGATCATACGGTAATTTGACGAAACAACGCTGTAAAATTGTCTGTAAATCACCACAACCATGCAGTGAAACAATGGCACTTCTAAAGTTCATCTGAAACATTAAACAGCAATTTAGCAAAAGTTAATAGAAAATCATCAGAGGAAATTGAAAGAGAGATGAAACCGAGCTCGACATTTGATATTTCCGAATAAACCGTATATTCTTGTTTGAACATATGATTATAGGCTTGGAAAAAACTTACATTCTCACTTCCACAGAAGATATCAACGATTTGCGGATCGTTTGCCCAATTTGTCGTTAATTTTAGATTCACATAGTGCACCGAAGCTGTAAAAGAACAATAAATATTAGTCGATGATGGGAAGGCAACAGATTGTGATGCTTACGTATGCTATAATAATTCATTTATTCTAAAGTTCAATTGATTACCTCATTCTAATCAATTTCATAAAAGATTTTACCGTATCGCTCCTTGCCACTGCAGCAAAGTAACTCATCACATTCAATGCCAACAACGTTGAATTCATTTGATAGCACACTCAAAAGATGACCCTAAAATATGTGACTGCTTCATATCGCATGAATATTCTCGGACAGAAGTGTGTACGTTCAAAATAAACACTGAGACAAGTGAATAAATATTTGATTCTGAACAAGATCGATCTCACCACTCCACAGCCAACATCAACCACTCGATTAACTCTGAACTGATGACATGAATCTCTAATGAGCGCGACAAATCGCTCTAGCTCATGTTGTTTCTTCGCACGAATTGAAAGGTTCATTTTCGGTTGCTGTTTCACCGATTCATCCTTCTTCTTCAACATCGAATCTTCGCTCGTTTCATTGTATAATCCAAAGTTGTTAGCAAACGATAAAAGTAAACTACACTGACGGCTGTCATTCACGAAATTATGCAGACTTTTAGGACATCCCTAAACAACATTTCTGCCATAAAATCACGTATAATAAATTTCTTTTCTGCAAACAAATAATAATTATTTGCATTTTCATACTGTTATCGCAAGGGAACGGCAAAACGGCTCGCAATTTAGCCGAAATTCCCATCATTAGGGATGAACAAAAGCGTACCGACGATTGTTGCTTCTCGAATGGAAATGAATTCAACTCAGTGTTCGTAAGCGTACACAAGTAACGTAGCCACTGAAACTCATCAATTAGTTCAGCGAAGGAAGTCGTATCAACTTCACTTCCAAAATATTTGGCAGAAGCGATAATCAATAATGCTAATTTTGTGAACATACATCTGGTGGAATTTTTTGCCATATTTCATCAACAAAATATCTGATGTTGACGGTTTGATAGAGATAACTATAAGATTTGATGAAGTATACTAGACGTCGGAGCTGTTCGCATGAGAAAACACTTTCGGTTTGCAAAAGATCCATGATACTGTTGTAGCATTTCTCTGAAATATCATTGAAAGTGAAGTTCGCTGCCTGACCGAGCACTTGGCAGTGAAAAAGTGCACGACTATTACATCAGAGTTCGGTGCATCCATTATATCCCAAATTCTACAAGAACTCATAAAGTTGAAAACAAAGGATTAATCACTTAAGTTTTTTACATGTCAAATACTGACTCATAGAGGCTCTCACCGTAATTCATTCTCTTTATACTGATAAATGATCGTTTCTAATTATATTCATGACAACTAAAGAGAACGGACGACTAGGTTTGCGATTTATGTTTCGGTTTTGTTAAGGTAAAAATACTGTACCTGTTTGGATAGTTATATTGATGATTATCGCTATTACCACAGGTTGTTTAGGGAACAAGCCAAACGTGCCATCAAGCGTTTGAGTCGTTTGTTTTTCGTTCAACAAATATGCCCCTTGTTAATCTTTTTTCCAACAGCTGATTATTTTTGGCTCATAATGAATGACACTGTGAAGAAAGAAAAAACCAAGTCAAAAAATGAGCGTTAGAAATAGTTGCATGAGCTGCTAAATGCGAAATACCATTAACGTACCATTAAGGAAATCGTTGTTGTTCATTGAATCCAATTTGAAAACACAAAAAAGAAAAAGCGTCAATTGATTAACAAAATGGGGAACTAAATGAATAACAAAGGAAACATTAATGGTAGTAAACTAAACGATCTCATCTAACAATTGAAAAAGATACAAAAGTTTTTGTAACCATTAGAAAAAAAGTAGCATTATAGCAGTATCAATGACGATTAAACGCAAAAGTCAACGAACAGCAGCACATACCATTAACGAAATTTTATCAATATCTTTTTTTGCAGTCGTAATATGCAATGATATTTTTATCGAAATGCTGCAATGATTTTATCAATTTTCTATCAACTTCCTCTTCTTATAACATCGAACTTGCGTTCATTAATTTGACTTCAAAGAGTATAACTAATCAAATATGTTCATTTATTTAACAAACAACATAATCTATTAAATCACAGATTATACGATTTTTTAAACGCATACATGTGCACAAGTGAATAAATCGCTTTCAATTCATCGCTTAAATCACGACGCATTTTGTTACGAGCAGCAGTATTTTTTAAACCTTATTTGATCATACATTGGAGCAATGGAGTTAATTTTCAGAATAAATGAAACACAAACGCATGGATACATATTCTTATTGTAGCATTCGAAACTGGAACAAATTTAACAACGAAACAAGTAAATTCATAATATGTAAATAACTAAAACAATACAGCACAATAAAACACAAAAGAAAACATGTTTAAGAGAAATATGATCCTAATAGAGTATAACTATCTTTGAACACAAACAATCAAATATTGAATCAAAAAAAATTCTCGAAATAACTGCACATTTATTAAGTGAATTCAAATTGAAATCACCGAAGATACTAGATTCGATCGACGAATAGCAACATCATAAAGATGCATTGCTTATCATTCATGGTTGGTCAATCGAAACAGTTGCTTTTGGTTGACTTATGCTTCTGGATTGATACTGATGAATTTTTGATTCAGTTCAGGCGCGAAATCTGGGAATAACGTCGATGAGCGATAGCCATAAACATCATACAAGCGACGATTTAGCAACGCAACTCTAAAATATTCTTGATCAAATATAACACAAACAAACCAATTGATAACTATTGCACAACTTCTGCCGTGTACACGAACAACACAAAATTGACGTCTATACTTTGCGATAAACTACTATCTTGCCTATTTAGTGAGGAAATCATCGTTTGTGTGAGCAAAAACTGATTCTGAAATATTTTCTTACTTGCCACCAGTGAGTTTGCTGAGAAAATCCCAATATCCTTTCCGTATTGCATGTGGCTCAATCGTAACACTCCACAACACATAACCAGTTGATAACGTATACAAGAGAATGTCACCGTACGGGATCGTTCGTGCATACCCCTCACTCACCAAAGCGAAATAGAAAGCCTTCAAGTCACACGGATAGAATCAAAACAATCGCTTGCGAACATATCCAATTTGTCTTATTCCAGTCAACGTTGTGAAACAAAGTGATCATTGAAAATAATTCTAAATTACAAAAATCTAATCGAAAAGAACTGCTTTTCAAATCGTCTCACTTCAATGAATTTCCACAAAATATACATGGCAATTGAAACATTTGGATAGAATAACATCGCTAAACCACTGAATCCACCACACAGCATTTGTGTTTGAGGTGTGTCTTTACCCAGAAGCCGATTAAGCAGACAATGAGATCCCTGAAAGATTTATACACACAGCTACCTAATCAAATAATGAGCATTAAACAAAACATTTACATTTGAAAAAATGGCGATGATCAATGGATAAACCAAACATTCATCATGCAAAATTTTTGTATGTTAGTTTATTCTGAAAGAAAAAAAAAGCTTCAGAAAAGAAATTATATTTCTACATTATACAGTAGAGGAAGGCAGCCGAAGAAAAGTGGCAATCGAAAATTTTTGAGATGAAGAAGCCGGAAAAGGAGACGTGATGGCCGACGCAAAACAAAGCGTAAGTTTTGCAGAACGGTTAGTGCACAACTAAGACCCAATCCATACATGAAATTCCTTGCGAATCCCTGAAATCCACAGTTTCACTAGCATAATTCATCAGCTTTTTTTCTTCACTTCGACATCAAAATGATTTTGCTCGATAATACAGCGGAGAAATGTTTGTCGTTTAGAGAAGATTACAAAAATTCGCTTATTGCTGGAGTCGACTGGAAACTCACTTCAACACTTTTACTGACACACGAATGAGTATGTGTGCACAGATGATGTTTTACACGCATCGTACGCATAAACAGCACCCAACGAAGCAATCGTTGAACATAACCGTTTCTTACTGCCCTCAGCCGTTCAACATTCACCAACTCCTCATTCGCATTATCCAAGCAAAGCGCGAAACTGCAACCAATCATCTATCACCATCCATCTATCATAAACAATTACTCATTCATATTCATGGATTTAAGAGAAGTTGGCGTGGCATAGCTGACCTCAGAAGACTAGACAAATTTCGACCTAGTTGTTTGCGTCGAAATAAATATAGCAAGCCAGAGAGCCCAATGCCGAATAGGATCACCTGTCCATTCGACAACAGTCGTACATAGCCGTGATTTGCCAGCTGCCTGTATGCCGTTTCTGAAGCCTGAAGATGTTGACTGAATCAAAGCGAATGAATAATCGATTGAAACAATCGTGATGCTCTCTACATCGAATATCTATGAAATCGCTCGCATAAGCACTTTGAATGTTGGACCACCCATGGAAATTAGCAGTGATTAGCACCTTTGAGTTGACGACTTAACCGGTCAACTAAACGCTCGAGGGCGAATGCTCGATCTGAAGCTCCCAGTCGTATTTTTATTGGAGCATAACGCATCATGCATTGGAATGGTTACTCATTCCATTTGGGTGGTCCAAAAAAAAGCTTTTATTATAGCGGATATATTTGACAAAAAAACCACTCGATCACTCACCAAATTTGTCAAATACAACGATAATAAAGGCCTCCGCTTCGGTGATTCCACCAATATCGCAAGCCATGAGGCTAGCAAGCCATTGATAAGACCCATCGTCGGAAGAATAGAGAAGCCTAGCAAACGTCTGGAATGAAATTCCGCTCAGAAGTGAAGAAAACAGCTTCAATGGAACAACTCGATAAGCACATGGAAGTGTGCACTGATTCATTGAAACAAATGCAATATGCCAATTGTAAGATGAGTGATCAACGGAGGTAAATCTACCTTAAACGACACATAAACCACATATAAGCAGCAAGGTTTGTCATGAGAAAGACTGTCGAACGGAACGTATCCTTGAATGTGGTAACCCAATCAATTTTTCGAATGTCTCGTTTTGATAAGAATGCAGCAATCTGAAGAAACTTATTGGCGTTGCAAAAGATATTCGTTTTACTTTAGTTCATCGATAAGACTTTGTTCAATTTCAATTGTTACTAAACATTTTACGAGTGACGGATATTTGAAGTGCATAATTTTGATCCAAGATACGCCGAAACTGGTACATAAAACACGGTAATCAAGTATTCAACAACCAAGAGACTTAGACTCGCATTTTGCTTATGCTCTACGGCTTGGAGTTGATTACGTTTAGGAGTCGTTTCTTATTTATTTTCTGTAATCAATGATCAAAGCGACAAACAAACACGCACAATATAGAGGGTGGCATAGGTTCGAAACGAGAACGAGAAGCCGTCCCACATCGCGTCTCGAATCGCACCATTGCAACTCGGATTCCACGTATGATGTAACTCGTAACAATTGGCTGTTTGAATTTTGAAGCCGAGCACATCACCAAATAATTTGCTTAATACACTCATTATAATTGTTCCTGCTAGTAGATTCCCACTCTCTAAAACAAATTCATCACTCAAATAAGCATGCGTGCCAAACACTTAAGAACTAAATACGTATGTACAACAATGACGGTAAACAAATGAAATTTTGATCTAACAAATCCATTTTTGCAACTTCGATTGTTGAAGATTCCTGAACGCGCAAAAACTGTCAAAACAGAACTTCACTTTATTAACATCACTAGTACATGCATACATTTCCCGCAAAAGATGAAATGCACGCTAGATCACAGTTATTATATCAATAAAGATAAATTAAGACCAACTGATACAAGTTGCATGCAAAATACAAATCCGACGAAAAAAGACACGAAGAGAGGAGTACAAAACGTTCGGATGATTCTAAAATCACGCATATTTCCAGGTAAACGGATTCGTTTCCAGATACGTCAAGCAGCGCAACCATACTTTCACATTATATTCAGTTAGCATGAACGACAACAGAGCATCACTTGTTTTTGAGTGAGCATTATCTGTGAATCGATCATCTTCAATTATAACATCAGAATTCAGTTGAAATGAAATGAATAATGTATATTCATGGGATAGGCGATGCCATGTCAGAGGTGCTCAGCGATGATAATACGTAATAGATGAAACTTGAACGTTCGATAGAAGGAGATGGATGACATGAAGGAGAAGAGAGAACACTGCTTGTGGACATACGAAAGTTGTCGTCTTTGTTATCGGTGGTGACACTAATAACGGCAGCATCCACTAGCAAATGTGTTTAATCGTAACTGCAGTGGTAACCTAACGGAAGAAGAATGAAGTAACAATGGTCTGGTCAAAACAGTCAGATGAAGACTTTTCAGTGAAGACCAAAAATGTCACTCTCAGTGTAAACATGGCACTAATTCAAACGATTTTTCCGAAAATTCTCTCTCTCTCAACAAAAGCCTTTCAACTGAGACTCACAAGATCAGATTCTCTGGATTCATTCTTTGAACACCGTTCGATTGCTACATTCAAAAAATGGCAGTATAAGTGAATATTTGGAACAGTTGCCTGAAATATGGAAACACACTAGAAGCTCGAAATATTTTTTTTTTTGATTTAAAACCGCAAATTAACAGATTTGAACTTATGGACATCTCTTTTCAAGCATGAGATAAGCAAGATTAACTCATCAATGCATATACATGCTTGTTTCATGGTTATCATCAAAATCATTTTAATGATGAGATGAGCAAAGTTCCTTAAGTTCAAGAGCTTGCTTGCTTTTTTGATGGTTGCTTCATGTTGATCGAACGTTGGTTGGCACATGGACCAACCACACATCTTCTTTCATTCACTCTAGCTTTTGCACTAAACACGAACGATCAATTAACGACTGCACACTTCATCAAACCATCAACAACAGTTCAGTGAACATCGAATACAATATGCTCACTGAATTGAATTCATTAATACTTTTCAACGGAATGTCAATTAATCTCACAAAAGATCGCAACCGAAAATAGCAACGAAATGATAACAATAAAATGTGAAATTTCCAACTATTGAAATTTCCAGTGAAATTTCCAACGCAGTTATTTCAAAAAATTTCTAATGTAGAAGATGAACATAACGAATCGTAACATCATGCAATAACCTTGCATTCAAGAACAATAACTCCAGATGAATGAACTTAAATTGAGACTGAAACAAAAAAATAACTGCGTCATTAGCACTGTGCGTTTTTTAGCGATCTCTCATACGATCAATCAGATTTCTACTCGTATGCTCCCAAAACGAATTTTTTCCTCGAACAAACCTACACGGATCAACCACGATTAACCGTCAGTCATGCTTGTAGCCTTGTAAAATATACCGCAGACGGAAGATGTTCTTGATTTTGATGAAGTTGACGCTTAATCTAATATCAGTGCTCATTTCGAGTCTAAATTTAATTGCTCATCAGCAACTGTACTGTAACGAATTACTCTTCGAAAGTGGAATGACTCAATAATTCGGGACAAAAGAACTTCACTTACCGATGACAGTTGGCTATTTTTTTTAAACAAATTATCGCATGCACATAGGTAAACTCCAAATTCTAAAGAAATGATTTTCCACACTACCAAAGGATTATGTTGCGCAATGAGTTTCTTTGTCATCAGACTACCGAATAACAAGAAACATAACTGCAATATGCGTAATCCACCCAAACACAATATTTTTGATACTTTCACACTCAATACCCAGTTCTCAACTACAATTACACTCAATGAGTGCGGTGAACACTTTTAACTTGATAATTACTTGATTTTGTGATGATATGTTCATCATGGTGAGAAATACAAATACACAGAACGTATCGTTGTAACATTTCAAAATTTTCGAATGAAACAAAGCAAAAAACCTGACAATAAATTATGTATTCAGCCACAAAATTGAACTTTTGCACTAATTAGAAAAGTGCACAGCAAAAGAATTCCCAGAACTAGAGTGCTATTCCCAAGCATTAGCACACAAAGCAACAGAATCCTCAGAATTAGAAAAGTGCACATGAGAATATTTCAACCATCTCATAATTATACTGTTTTTTTCAGAAACTCTTCAGCGAGTATGTCACTTTTGGCAACGAGGCGCTATAAAAATTGAAACAGTGACCTTTAAAGTCATCTTCATCGTCGAAAGGTTATGCCATTTAAATGATTTTCTGATCTTCTGAGCAATGTCACATGAGCAACGATGAAATAATGAACACATTCCTAGCAACTGATGAATGCTAAAAGTTTGATTTACATAAAATGTTCATGAAACATCAATCACCAACCTTTTGAAAAAAAAACAACTTCATTATCATATCGAAACACCGATAACCGACATTCACGATATTACTGATACATTAGATAACTAATGCAGTGGAATGCAATCAAACGATACAGCTAAACAATCAAACGATTGTTTCATTGCCAGCGGCTATTGGGTAACATTTCAGGCACATTTTTGCATTATCTTTTGTTCTGTACTTGAATATCATACATTTTTATTCTCAGGCACACTTACACTATCATACTTCACTTTTCGTGAACAACCGCTGTAAAATAAATTGAATCTCAATTCAAACCAAAGCTGGCTGCTCTTCTCGAATGTATGACGGAACGATCGTCGTCGATTTGAAACATTTTTATCACTTCGATGTGTTGATGTTCTTTTCCAATGCATGCGGTGGCCAATTACAAGTGACACATTATTTCGCGGTGTTCCGAAAGTCTCACAAAATATCGCTGAAGTGTGATTGATGTTACACAGCTTTCTCTAAGAAATTCTTTTCAACATCAAAGCTTCCACTAAACCGGTAGAAGCAGCAGCAATCTGCTGTTCGGTCATTGTTCCGACTAAACGTTGCATACAAGCAAACTTCTTGTTCTTGAAGCAGTTACCGTAACAATTGAAACACTGATGAAGACATACTGTGATCAAGTACAACACTCATAAGCTAAACAATTTTCATCAGTCTATAACGTGATCATAATATAACAAATGATATACAACAGAGAAAAGTTTCATTATGTCCTTGCTCTACTTTTTGCTCTAAACTTAAGCCACCCTCCCAAAAAATCACGTGAATTATGCCCCAGCCCGTATAACAGTCTATTCATAAAATACAATACATCGGTAGCTTCCATCTGTAACTGAACTAAGCATATTTAGACTATTCACTTCGGTCCTGTAGAACGCACTAATTTGATTTTGCATTTAGCTAACTGCATCACCGAACGTTTAACTAGTATAGGTATTTGATGAATACAACTAAAAATTATCAAAGCATCTAGCTTCAAGCACTGATTGATGGAAATGCGGTGTATTATCATGATAATCATCACCATTATCAACTTCCCTTTCTTCGAAGTGATAATAAAACGGATCTGATTAGATGATGACTTTGCTTATGATATGACTCAAAAAGTAGCTATCACCGAATGAATCGATGTGACTGAAACGACATCCAGGATTCTGATTGAAGAAATGCGATTCAAATGGGGCGGTATGCTATACTGGGCGGTGCTTGACCGTATATATATATTTCATATAAAGCAGCAAAAATAGGTTCATTCACTTGTCGACATATCCATCCAAGCATTTCATCAATCTAAAATCTTAAGTTGCCGTACTCTCAGCTGAGAACACGATCATCATCAGCATCAACATCATCACCGTTATCAGCAACATCAACTTCCAGCCGAATTGTATCGCTCGACCGGTCAACTGATTCGCTGATTGGTTTGTTTCAGATTCTTGATTATTGCTTGACCTTTCAGGAATTCGAATTTCGTTGTACGTTTCATCTTTCTTCAACATTTGATTCTTCATCTCATTTCTTCATCCTTCCAACAAATGTTCATATTTTTGCCACCAAACGTTTTATTCTTTTGAACACCATCCTCCATAATTTACTTACGATTAAATTTATCCATATAGATGAAACCCACTATTCATGCATGATTAGTAGTTCAACTATTCGAACTGTTCATACTCGCAAGATCCACTTTCATTTCATCCTTCACTTCACAATTCACTACAGCTGTATATTTCTTGATGTTGTAGATTTTCACTTTTGCGATCAAATTTATTCACTGTAGCATAATCTCTTCAAACCGTCCTTATTCCATCCATCCCTTCCCCATCAACAATCCGTTATGAATGAAGTCATTACCATTGTTATAGAATTCATATCGTTCGTCTCCTTCAAATCAGCACAGATCAGCTATTGCTATCGCTATCATGTCATCACTTGCGATTTACATCACCTTCGTTTCACTTCTCTGCTGCAGCGTTCAATCGTCGTCTCTGACCGCTTCATTATCAGCATCATCACCATCCTTGTCACCTCAGTGCAAGATCAGAGTTCAAGTGGTATGCAACACAGCTATTTACTTTCTTCCCTTTTCATTCCACGCTTTACGCTTCATATCCGTTCAGGTGCACATTCATCCGTTTATTCGTCTCATTTCACAAGTGCGCTTCCTACCGTACCTTCTCACTAAACGCAGCAAATAAAAACAGAATAGCAGCAGATAACTGAACAGAATAATTCACTGTAGCATAATAATGAACAGAGTAATAACAAGAAAAAGCCTACCAACCAATCAAGTCCACAAGCTCGAATCGAATCGAACCGAATCAGCTGTGCTTGACAAAATGCTGCAACAGTCATATTGGACTTGAGAGTGCCACTATACACTATCACATGCTAGAAGCGTAGAACTTTTCTGGTTATCACCAAAAAAAAAATAAGCTGACGACACGGATAATCAGACTTGATGAATTACTCTATTAATTACGACGCAACGTGGATGATATCGTTGCTGAACCACACGCAACCAAATTCAAACTGCACATAGCCAGTAGTAGTCAACGTACGTACCCAAAGACAGTTAAACGCATTTTTCCCTTTCATCTACCTTGAGCGTTTATTTGCATTCCACTTCAAATGACCAATGTAATCAAGGGGAATTTTTGTTGTTTAATAAAACAAAAAATATTGAAAAACGCCAAAAGACCGCAAAAATTTCAACGGATTATAGATTGTCAAATGACAACTGTGATTTGAACACACTCATTCACTGATCACTTCAGTTAACCGTCATTCAACTGCTTAATTTCGCGGCTCAAAAAAGCGCGTAACCTGCTACAGAAACAACTAAACCAACAACGAGATGTTCATCTTTATCGTTAATCCCAAATTCCATATAACTTTTCAGAATAGCAATATTAGTGCAACAACAATTTCTGCAGTATTCATAACATTGATGATATTAATAACCGCAATAGTAATCATCATCACGATAAAAATAACAAAACTGATAATAATAATAACAATGATAATGATAATAGTGATAAATAATAATAGTAATAATAAATAATAATAATAATAGGCATAATAATGATAACAATAATAATAATAATAATAATTAATAATGATAATAACAGGCCTAATAATGATATTGATAATCATAATAATTCACATAGCCTAGATATCAAAATAAGAAGAGACAACATCAATAAACCCATATCGTGTAAAACACACTGAAGACATGATAATAATTTTCCCTCACACTGATAATAACAATAATATCAAAAAAATCAGCTAAAATTCAAGTACCATTTACACATCAACAAAGATAACAGGAGCAGACAAGAGCAGTGTACACGCAAAAGTTTGCATTTCGAAATGAAATTTAACAATGAAACTTTTGAAACGGCGATTTCAGTTAACATTCATGCATATAAATACATATGTACAAGAGGAGAACGTAAAATAAAAACGATTTCAAACTAGAACTCAAAAACAGTATACACACGTTAAAATCATCAATACTTGACTCCTATTGCATTCGAGGTCTATCGTCAAAATAATGACAGACTTTGAAAGAGAAAAAACGAAGGAACAAACATGAGAAATGAAATTCAGTAGTAATTTTCAGCAATTCTATATACACAGCGAATTTTTTTAAATCAAGAATCTGCATACTTCTTCTTAAGTTCTGCATCCAGT